TCACAGTAGCAGCAACTGGATGCAGAGACAAACTCACAGGCAATGGAGAGATGGAAACTGCACGTCAGCAGCATGTGGGTGCAGCAGTGGCTGGCATTGGCAACGCATGGTTTCTTCAGGGAGTAGGGCGGGAAGCATTGAAGAAAGTGAGGACGCATTTCATACTATGCATGCGGGATTTAGGTCTGATCGGGTGCTTGGACGAATCCTTCTCTAATAATGCCAAGCTCGGCTCAGAACAACTCTTTCGACCAGGCCGATTGAGGGTTTGTGCTACCTTTGATCCTCCTGCAGCTGACTATCACGGAACAGCGGACTGTCACATCCAAACTGACTGTCTTCCCGCTGCTGGCTGCTCCTCTCAAGCTGAGGAGGTGGCAGGAGTGTCGTTTGCTTTGCTTAAGCCACCTGACGATCGGTGGGGTGTTTCGATTTGCCGGGGCTACATTTTTGCCTTCACACACACCAGGTGCTTATATAAACGCTCTCTTTTTCTTGCACCTCCCTCACTCCCTCTCTGCAGCTGCCTTTTGTGCCTTCCTATCCCTCCTCTTCGCCCGTCACTATCCTACATTTCTGCCTTAGCATCCACCAAGTACGAATGCATTACTGCCTCGTTTCTTTGGACCTTCTTCTCTCGCTCCCTCTCCCTTCCTCGCTTGTCTTTCTAACAGTCGTTGGATCCTGACGAAGCAAGATTTCCCTCTGAACCACCTGTGAGGTGTCATAACCAATCAATTTTGCAGGCTTTATTACAACCTCTCCGCACATCCTCTTGACCCGACAGAGTTCTGTCCCTTTTGCTATTGCAAGGTGAGTAGTTCTCCTATGAGCTCTGTTGCCCATTGATCTGTCAAGTGCTATATGGTTTCGGATGATAGTTACGTTTAGATACTCCATTTGCGCATCTCTCTGCTCTGTTTGTCTCGTCAACCGCACATGCAGGTTTGGAATGCATTGGATCAAGTATCAAGGAGACTTGTTGAGCCAATCTGCTTCGCTATTTGCACAAATGTGAGCAACATAGCACAGGGAGGAAAAGAGAGGAAGGTAATTTACTTACAACCAATCACTGACACCCATATCCTTAGCTTGTGCAGGGACATTTTTGTGGAGTATTGGAGATGCCCGAGCATTGAGTAGATGCTCAAATTAACCAATCTCTGTGAACTAACGAACTGTACATTGTTTTATAGATGCTTAAACATCACTTAAATTCACATTTTATAGGTTCTTCCTAGATGGGAAATCTCCTGTTCTGGCCAAGCATTTGTTTGGGTTGAACCAATCTCCACCTTTTCTCATCCTTCAGTCAACCTCCTCAATCTTGGGCCCGTCGTTTCTGCTAGAAGAACCACCTCCCATTGGCACATCCCCCATACCTCCTGCTCCTGGCACTGGTCCAGCTCCGGCCTGGTACATTTTCGCAATGATCGGGTTACAAATGCCTTCCAGCTCCTTTTGCTTGTCCTCAAATTCGTCCACGTCAGCGAGCTGGTTCTTGTCCAGCCAATCAATGGTCTCATCTACTGTCTTCTCGATGGCCTTCTTATCCTCGGGCGACAGCTTCATTTTCTCGTCACGAATTGTGTTTCGCATGCTGTAGGAATAATTCTCCAGAGCGTTTTTCGCCTCAACCCGCCTCTTGTGCTGCTCATCATCATCCTTGTACTTCTCCGCTTCCTCCACCATCCGCTCGATTTCCTCCTTGCTCAGCCGGCCCTTGTCATTCGTAATCGTTATCTTATTCTTCTGCCCCGTAGTCTTGTCCTCCGCACTCACGTTCAAGATGCCATTCGCGTCAATGTCGAACGTCACGGTGATCTGCGGCACGCCACGTGGCGCCGGCGGAATTCCCGAGAGCTCGAATTTCCCAAGCAGATTGTTATCCTTAGTCCGAGCGCGTTCGCCTTCGTACACCTGAATTAGCACGCCCGGCTGGTTATCCGAGAACGTCGAGAACACCTGCTCCTTCTTAGTCGGAATCGTGGTGTTCCTCGGAATCAGAACCGTCATTACCCCTCCGGCCGTCTCCAATCCAAGCGACAGTGGCGTCACGTCAAGCAGCAGCAGGTCCTGCACCTTCTCATTCCCCTCGCCGCTCAAAATCGCCGCTTGAACCGCCGCACCGTACGCCACGGCCTCGTCAGGATTAATGCTCTTGCATAGCTCCTTCCCGTTGAAATACTCCTGCAGCAGCTGCTGCACCTTGGGAATGCGCGTAGACCCGCCGACGAGCACCACGTCGTGGATCTGCGCCTTGGACATTTTCGCGTCCTTGAGACACTTCTCCACGGGATCCATGCACTTGCGAAACATGTCCATGTTGAGCTCTTCGAAGCGCGCGCGGGTGATGGTGGTGTAGAAGTCGATTCCCTCGTAGAGCGAGTCGATCTCGATGGTGGTCTGCGCGGTGGAGGAGAGGGTTCGCTTGGCGCGCTCGCAGGCCGTGCGAAGGCGGCGAAGAGAGCGCGGGTTGTTACTCAGGTCCTTCTTGTACTTCCGCTTGAATTCCTGGACGAAGTGGTGCACCATGCGATTGTCGAAATCCTCGCCGCCCAAATGCGTGTCTCCAGCCGTCGCCTTCACCTCGAAAATGCCGTCCTCGATTGAAAGAAGTGACACGTCAAACGTACCCCCGCCAAGGTCGAAGATAAGCACGTTCTTCTCAGACGAGCTGCTGTTCTTCTTATCGAGCCCGTACGCGATAGCAGCTGCAGTCGGCTCGTTTATGATTCTCATCACGTTCAGCCCAGCGATCACACCCGCGTCTTTCGTCGCTTGGCGCTGCGAATCGTTGAAGTACGCCGGAACCGTCACCACCGCGTTCTTCACGGTAGTCCCAAGGTAAGCCTCTGCGATCTCCTTCATTTTCGTCAGCACCATGGAGGAGATTTCTTCCGCGGCGAACTGCTTCGTCTCGCCCCTGTACTCGACTTGGATCATCGGCTTCTCGCCCGCGCCCGCGATCACCTTGAACGGCCACAGCTTGATGTCGTTCTGCACGGGCGCGTCGGAGAACCGCCGTCCGATGAGTCGCTTCGCATCTGCACGCACGACAAGTGAAGAGAAACAAGTGAGAAATATGAGTCGCGAGGAATGAGCGTGGGCAGGCGCATTCATCCACGTTTTTATTGAGAAGCAGGGGTAGACGAAGTCACGGATTGAAATTGTTTGACGAACCGGTTGTAAGCAAAAAGAGAGCATGGAGAGGTGAGCATGGTGGCAGCATCTGACTCACCGAAGACAGTATTGACGGGATTCATGGACACTTGGTTCTTGGCTGCGTCACCAATCAGGCGCTCCGTGTCAGTGAATGCCACATAGGACGGAGTGGTGCGGTTGCCCTGGTCGTTGGCGATGATCTCAACGCGATCGTGCTGCCACACGCCCACGCAGCTGTAGGTCGTGCCGAGGTCAATGCCAATCGCTGGGCCTTCTCCTTTCGCCATGACTGAGATATGAGGAAACGAGTTCTAAGGTAATGTGATAAATAAAATAAAGAGCGGACAGAATCCTTTGCTGAGTGAACGTCACTAATGACAGAGAGCTAGTTTAGGTTGCGCCTTGACAGGCGCGAGAGCGTAATCGTTGAGAGAGTCGAGAGCTGATTGCAGTTCAAAACTTGATGAATCCGAAATGGCTAGTCGGTCCGTATATGTAGACACGTAGTGAAAAGGCGCTGGTGCTGGGGTTCGAGAAGCTGCCAGAAAGTAGTTGTGGAATGCAAGGCTTTGATTTCAAATCGGGAAGCTGCTGGAACCATACAGATTGGCCTCACGACTTCTTGACATTGGGCTGAAATGCGGCACGGGAAAGTCGCGATGGGCGTCTCGAGAACTTTCAAGCTGCAGACGTGGCGAGCATCGGAATGTGACTGGTCAGATCGACGGCTCTTTGGAGCTTCTAGGTTCGTCGATTCATCTGAAGCCAGTACAATTGAGGTTGCCCATTACTTCACATTACACATGTCAGCGAAAATTACATTGCAAAGCATAAACTAAGAAAGTAACTTTAATTTGCAGCCTACTTGTATCAAGCAGAAAACTCTAAGCTGGAGGAGAGAACAGAAATGCTCAAAAGAGGAAACAAAAGACGTGGGACATTTCAGTTTTTATCAGCATAAACTGAAATCAACATCTGCGTATACATGCTCTCCTCCATCACACACAGTTGTACTAGTCACTGTAGTAATACTAGATACCATATGTTACAACCTCTGTGCATGTACCTAGCTTAGGAATGTGACGGGATGACAAATACTCTCATGCTGCAGGTGTGCTGGGCTTCCTTTCTCACAAGCTTGCTCTGGTATACTAATCCGTAACACACCGTTATACTATTCATCCGTATGCTTACTCCCACTCACCAGTGCGACCAGCACAACAAGAGCAAGCTTGTGAGAAAGGAAGCCCAGCACACTTGCAGCAAACTGCTGTGGTTCAATCTTTATAACCTGCAACCCTCCTGTCAAGAGCTCCCCATCGCCCTCGCCACCACCCACGCCTCCCAACAGGGCAACCGCTGGTACAATGGCTACAGCTGCTAACGAATCGCTCAACTATTCATCCGTATGCTCACTCCCACTCATAAATGCCACCAGCACAAGAGCAAGCTTGTGAGAAAGGAAGCCCAACACACCCGCAGCAAACTGCTGCGGCTCAATCTTCAGAGCCTGCAACCCTCCCGTCAAGAGGCCCCCGTCACCCTCGCCACCACCGATGCCTCCCAACAGGGCAACCGCTAATGCAATGGCTTCAGCCGCTAACAAATCGTTCAACTATTTATCTGTATGCTTACTCCCACTCGTGAACGCCACCACAACAAGCGCAAGCTTGCGAGAGAGGAAGCCCAACACACATGCAGCAAACTGCTGTGGCTCAATCTTCAGAGCCTGCAACCCTCTTGTCAAGAGGGCCCCCGACACCCTCGCCACCACCGACGCCTCCCAATAGGGCAACCGCTGATCCAATGGCTACAGCTGCTAACAAATCGTTCAACTATTCATCCGTATGCTTACTCCCACTCGTGAACGCCACCAGCACGAGAGCAAGCTTGTGAGAAAGGAAGCCCAACACACCCGCAGCAAACTGCTGCGGCTCAATCTTCAGAACCTGCAATCCTCCTGTCAAAAGGCCCCCGTCACCCTCTCCACCACCAACACCTCCCAACAGGGCAACAGCTGATCCAATGGCAACAGTTGCTAACGCCGCCCGGACTCCAATGCTTCGCACCAGGTTAAGGTCCTCAGGATTCCCGATTCTTCCTTTCAAATCCATGCCGGGCGTTTCAGAAATGGTGCTAGAATTTTCTGATGCGCCAGACGCTGCTGCATGAGGCGGTTTTGCAGTTTCAGTCCGATCGGCTGATCGAAGCTCATCGACGCGGTTCTGCAATCTCAGCAAGTAGACAAGCGCCGCCGCCCCTCCTGCAGCAAACGCCACTGCAGTGTCCACTCCTCCCACCCACCCAGCAGCTCCGGTCCCAGTAACCACCAACCCAGTGGTAACCAGCAGCATCAGCCTCTTCAGATCTTCATACTCCCTCAACCCATCCTCCCTCTTTCTCCGAGCCTCCTCCGCAGCTTTGGCAGCCGTAGCAGCTGCTGCGGGTCCTGCCAGAGCAAACGAGGGATCTAGTATTTGTGACTGAGCCACTCTTAGTTGAATCGCTGTTGGCATGTCGGGGTTGCCACTGTTACCCCCACCTGAAGGGTCGCCAAGAAAAGTGGGAGAGAAAGGTCCTGGAAGGAGCGTATACTCTATGGCTGCTGAGGTATCAATTGCTGCTGCCGTCACAACATCTGCTGCTCCTGCTTCTGTAAAAGCAGCTTTTCTTACTGCTGCAATGTTTGGAACAACAGTGACTGCCACGCTGTCAACTCGCCACGTGGCGCCTCGTTGAGGCGCCAGCCAAGCAGCTACCACTGGGCCAATGCGAGGCGCATTCAGACGGATTTCCGCTGTCTGACCTGCAGCGAATGCCGTTGCAACAACTGGCAATGCTCCAGTGGCTGCAGCATCCGTCCGCTCGTTTTTGTCAACGCTCTTCTGAACCGTAGATTCCATGTCATCCTGTGGCTGGAGTCGCACCGAAATCGTGTCGCCATTTTCTCCAATCACAGCCAATAGGACGCCGCCACCTGGCATCGACATGCCGGAAAGTGGCTCTCGGCTTGTCTTCACGCGAATCAGGTAAAGACACGTGGCGGCATCGCCTAGCCTCTGCTCCGGTTCAGCGCCATCCGCGCTGGCGATACTACCACCGAAAACATGACTAAGGTCTCCATAGTAAGCAGCGGTGTCATTTGTAAGAAGCTTTCCTTGGCTTAGCGCATCTGACGGTTGAGTTTCTGAAGCCGACGGGGAGGTGGAAATGATTTTGCGGAGGCGCGCTGGTACCTGGAACTGATGTGACGCGGAGACCGCGAAACGGCGTTCAGGACGGGAGCGCGGTGGTGTAGTCAAGTTGATAGATGCGATGCGGTTCTTGTAGCTAGGGAGGATTCTTGCGAGGCGCTTGTGTAGCGTAGGGGAGCGTACCGACGGTGGGGAGAACAGGCAACGTGGCTGGCAGGAAATGTCTAATGCCATAGTAAGGCGGCGAATCAGCGGACGGACAGGCGGGATATTCAAAAGAACAGCTGCGGAACGGACGAAGGTCGAATCAACCTGGTAGAATCTCGTTCTCACTACTATTAGTACCAGAAAGCGGAGTGGTAGAAGACTATTTCCAACTTGAAACCTGATGGTGAGCAGCATTACCATTTCGAAGTGGGGAGTTCTCTCGCAAGCGGTTTCGCCATTGGGTTACATGTCGCAGTTCTAAACAAATGTGTTCGTCTATGCTAAATATTTTATCGCACGCATTGCCACCTCGGGAATTTCGAAGAGGCTTGTGCGACATCCCGACTTCGGTTGCTGATGGTTGCTAGCTGAGGCCGTGAGTCAGACCCACAGTGGATGACGTAGCTTTTAGACAGATGTCCTAATATGACAGGACAAAAGGTTGTGTCTGAAACGAACCCCTCCAATCCCTGACTACGAACTCGTTATTAGAAATTCGCCAGATACATGTACAGAATTGCTAGATATTACAGTACTGATCCACAGCAGCTATGAATTGTACAAAGCAGATTAGAGGTCAGTGGTCGTCGTCGTCACCTGCATCTAGATCTAGAATAATCCCTACGTCCATCTCTTCTAGCTCTTCTGGCACCATCGCCGCAATCTGCGCTTCCAATAGCGCCACGTGTTTATCACCATCCGCCTCATCTTTAGATTTCTCCAAATCCAGGCCCTTCGTTATGCTACCTCCATCAGCGTGCGGCTTGCTTGTTACATTAGAAAAACGCGGCGAGAAATCAGGCAGCAGAACCGCATCATTGACGGTGACGCCTTGCGAAGACGGCTGTTGAAGGCTTTTTTGAAGATTAATACGTCGAGGAGAAAAAGCAGAAGCTGACGAAGGCGCGAAAGTAGCATAACCCGTATCGCTATGTCGTCGCAAGACACTCGCAATGTCGGCAAGCCAAAGATCCACATCACGGTCGGTGACCAGCGACGGTAGAAATTCACGCCGCTGCCGCTTGGCTGGAGACTGCGTTTCAGACGCGGGTTCGAATCCGGTTGACGGATTTTGATGAACAACAGAACACGCACGAATCCGCTATACGCTTTCTTCTGCGTGTCCCTGTATGTTCCGCTAGATCAAAGGAGCGAATGTTTTCGCCGCTGCCGCCGGCACCGCCGTCGGTACTGGCGATACTACTAGCGGAACTGGAGCTTCGTCGCAGATCGCCGCCACGGCAGCCGTCGCTTGCGGTTCCGCCACTTCCGCCATTCCCGTCGCAATCGACAGCGGCACTGCTGTATACAGCACCGTCTGGCTGAGAATCGCCGGGGCTGTTCCAGCGCATATCGAACGCCACGATAATATCGACATCCGAGTCTGTCACCTCAAACAAACCGGCGCCGCGTGCACCATCACTCGCGGCCGATGGTAAGCTCTCATGACGCGTCGCTGCAGCCACGCCAGTAGGTCGCAGGTTCCCGTCGGTGAGTTGGGGGTCTTTAGGGGACGCGCCGCCGTCCGCAACTGCGACGGCGATGGGTGCGACGACGTGTAAACTATCAGTCTTGGCGAGGGCGTTTTCAGGGTCGGATAAGACCGACGATTGCGCTGCATCCCAGGTCGTGCCCCAATACTCCGACACTGGGGAGAGAATTCCACTGCGAGCCATAACAGAGGGAGAATAATCTGATAGGAATATGGAAAGGAAACTAGAAGCTTGTGTTATGATGAAGGATCTGCTTCTACTTCTGGTGGTGGTGTGGCAATGTGAAGAGACAATTTCGTCAGTTTTGGGACTCCGGTTTTAACTGGGATTTTGCTACTGCATTTTGCTGTTGCCTGCCATCAGCGTTTTCTGCAGAGCTACTACGTTGCCGCGGATCGCTTTCTGTTGCGCGCACGGGATGAGTCACCACCACGTCCACTGCGTGCTGGTGGCCCTAAGAGATCCCTTTTTGGGGCGCTTGCTGCTTGAAATAGTTGCTTTCGGGATGAGTCATGATTCATGAAGCTAGATCTACACCTAATGCTCGTGAGAGGCAGTGTTCTTTCCCTGGCAGTTGAGCTTCAATTGATGACGCTTCGTTTGCGGCAGGCAAAATCATGGGCCTCTAGAGGCACCAAGGTTCGCAATTTTCCCTGCGCGCTGCGAGCAGACAGACAGTCTCCTTTCTGCCCGATTTCAGCGGGCCGTAGCGTGGTTCAAACACTGCTCTGCCCGCGGGTCTGTAATGTGCGGGCCGTTGCCTGTGAAACCCAACGGGTCCGACTGTCGGGTGTATGTGGGAGCTGGTTTTGTTGGCGATTTGTCGAGCATCAGGGTGTATGTTGAAGCTCGGTCAAAATATGCTGACCAAAAGATGCGATGCGCCCTGCAGAAGAGAGTCCGAGCAGAAATCAGCCGCTCTGTCGCCGCTACCAGTGGTGCATTAGCTGGGTTGGAGATGTAGCCATGGCCACTGGCGGGGAGGACCGGAGACGACGTTACATTCAACATTCTTATCGTAACGCACCGAACAGTGCTATTAATCTAAACCAAGGGGATCAAGAAAGGAACCTCAACTAGATGAAATGCTGTCGGCGGCGGCAGTACGCGTAGCACGCAAGCAACACCTGGAAATACTTCGAGCAGCAAGGCCAGGGGGAGGTGGGTGATGTTGGGGAAGGTCGGAACAAGGGCAGTTACGACCTAGGCGGGAAAGGCGTAACCTGAAGCGATGCAGTGCGTTTGTGTTGGTTCAAAGCGCGGTGGATTTGGATGGTGGGACGCGGTACTGTAGTATTGCGGCGTGTGGTGCGGGTCGATAGATTCCGTGAGGGTGTGGTGGACCTCCTCCAGTTGCCAATCTGCGCTGCCTGTCGCTGGTGGCGAGGCGAATAGCAGTGGGACACTACAAATAGGGCTCGTGTCTTTTGGTGTAGACGTTCAAAAAGGAAGTCAAGCTTTTTCTGGTAACCTGTCTCGTCAATCTCGCGAAGGGATCGTGTGTCCTAGTTCAAACTGTGTGAAAGAAGTTGGACACTGAACTAAAGTCGACCTGCCTTCGCATTTTTTGTTTACATTTATGTGATCGAGTGTACTTATGCGCAATCACGAAAATTCACGAGGTTCACGACAAATAATGAAGTACATTTCACCAGGTTACCGAAGCCTGATACGGTAACGAATCGCACCGCCCAACCAGGTAACCTACGAAAGATTAGCACGACTCGTGATTTACTGTTCAAAGTTGAGCTTTGATAGTCGAACTTCGTTGTTCCATGTGCGACTCGGACTTGTAGACGCTGCTCCTCGACCATCAAAAGTTGAGATGGTCGACCACAGGTCGACCAAAGTTCGAATGTGAAAATTCGAGAAAAAAAACATGAACCTCCACCTAATTTGCAAAAGACACGCGCCCTTACTATTCAGGCTGACTGAATCCCCAGTATGTCGATGATGCTTGTGGGACTCTGTAACAATTAGTTGCTGATGGTTACGAATTTACGGAACGATGTAGCTGCCAGACAGATGTCCCAATATGACCGGACAAGAGGTTGCTTGAAATGAGCACTCCAATCTCTGACCCTGAACTCGTTATTAGAAATTCGCAAGAGATTTTCCAGGTACATGTACAAGATCAGAAGTTGTGATTCGAATTTCCAAAGCAGTACAGTAGTTATGAATGGTCCAAGTGGAGGTCAGAGGTAGTCACACGCATCTAGATCCAAAATAATCTCCATGTCCATCTCTTCCAGCTCTGCCGGGACCATCGCCGCAATCTGCGCTTCCAATAGCGCCTCATACGCACCACCATCAGCCTCATCCGTAGATTGCTTCACATCCAGCCCGCCCTTCATGTTTCCTCCGTCAGCGTACAGCTTCTTTGTTGCACTAGAAACACGCGGCGCGAAATTAGGAAGCAAAACCCCATCGTTGACAACGACTCCTTTTAAAAACGGCTGTCGAAGGCTTATTTGCAGGTCGATATGTTCAGGAGAAAAAACAGAAGACGGCGAATGCGTGAAGGTTTCATAGTCGCGAACAACTGCCGGGCAACCCGTTTCGTTACATCGTCGCAAGTAACTCGCAGCATCAGCGAGCCACAGATCCACATCCAGATCGGTGACCGGCGAAGGTAGAAATTCACGCCGCTGCCGCTTGGCTGGAGGCTGCGTCGCAGACGCGGGTTCGAATCCCATTGACGGACTTTGAGGAACAAGGCTTGGGAACAGATCGCAGCAAATATTCTCGCCGCTGCCGCTGGCGCCGCCGTCGCTACTGGCGATGCTGCTCGTGGAGCTGAAGCTTCGTTGAAGTCCACCGCGGCGACCGCCGACGGTTCCGCCATTTCCGCCAATTTCTCCATTTCCGTCGCAATCGTCAGCAGCTCTGCTGCTGACAGCACCGTCTGGGTGAGAACCGTCGAGGTGGTCCCAGCGTTGATCGAGCGCCATGATAAAATCAAGGTCCGACTCTGACACTTCAAACGAACCCGCGCCGCGTGCACCGTCATTGGCGGGCATTGGTAAGCCGTCATGACGCGTCGCCGCAGCCACGTCAGTAGGACGCGGATTCTCATCAGCGAGTTGGGGGACTTCAGCGAACGCGCCGTCCGCGAATGCGACGGCGACAGGTGCGGCGACGCGTGTTTCTGTCTCAACGAGGTTGGGTTTCGGATTTGATGAAATCGACGATTGCGCGGCATCCCAGGTCAGCGCGCCCCAATGGTCTGACACTGGGGAGAAACTTTCACTGCTAGCCATGGCAGAGGGATCAAAATAACTACAATCAGTAAAAAAATTACTACAGAAGAGCTGCTTCTGGTTCTAGTGATGCGATCCACCAGAAAACGGAAATGCGATTCTTCTGAGCAGATGAACTTCTTGAAGCAGCTATCAAAGCAGGAGCAATATCGTGGGGAAGGCGCGGCTAAGTGATGCGATATCCAATTTGGCGATCGTTATCCGTTCCTATCGCTTTTTCTGTGCTGGTCGGCAGTGACTTCCATTTACAGTTATGTGCCACAGTCCGCTGATT